CCCGCCCCCCCCGGGGAAAAAAAAAAAAAAAAAAAAAAAAAAAAAAAGATCCCGAACCACTGCGGCTTGGCTTTCAAGAGAAGTGGGGGCTGGGGAGCGCGGGGTGGGGGTGAGGCCAGATGGGGCCTGGAGCGCTCGCGAGTCCTCCAGCCTGTCCGACAGGTTGAGCTAGACTTTCGCAGAGTAGGAGGGAGGGAGGCGGCGAGCGGGAAGAGGAAGGAGACGCAGGCGCCGAGGACCGGAGCGCGCGGAGAGAGGAGCCGGGGCTGCGGAGCGCAAGGGGTCCTGGAGGGGCTGCCCTGCTTGCAAGCGCGAGATCCTCCGCCAGGGGGCGACAGCCCCATGCTCCTGTGTCCCTGCCACTCTGACCCCTAGGACAGAAGACACATCTTTTAGGAATTTAAGTCAGACCGCCTTGGGGCAAGGGGGACGTGCGCCGGCCAATGTTGCCGAGTTTTCGGGGTCCTTTCATGCCCGGTCCGCACCGGGATGTTGTGAGGACCTTGACTTTGGCGGAACTGGGAGAGCGCTCATCCCTAGGCGCAGTCGGCAGGGCCTGGCTAGCGGGGGTCGCAGCCCCGGCTTAGCCTGTTGGGTCCCCAGTCTCTCGCAGACTTCAGCTGGCTAGTTGGAACTATCCGAAAGTCACTTGCTATGAGGTCTCCGCGCTAAGGGCGTGGGAGGAAGGGAGGGTTCCTGGGGCGGGGAAGATGCGCTCCGTGCGCGCACTGCGCATTATCCGCGCCGGCTGCCTGCCTTTGGGTGCGCCGCTGCAGCATGTGCGGGCTGGTGCGCCAGCGCGCTCCGCACCGAGTTCGCAGCACGCCGACTCCCCACGCTTGCGCTGGTCACCGCCCCAGCCCCGGCCTCTCCTGGCCCATGGCCTGGGGTTCACACTTGGCGCCTAGGTGCGCCTTCGGCATCGCTGCGTCCCTGCCTTCGCCGCCGGGCTTGGAGGACCCGTTCCCCCAGGTCTTAAACCAGCGGCTCCTTCCCGAGGGGACCCACGGTTCACAACGAAGTCCCCGGGGCGCAAGATCCCCGGGTGCCCTCGGGCCCACGGGCGGGTCGGGACCCGAGTGGGCGAGCCTCCTGGGCGTAGTGCAGCTCCTCGCGTGGCTGTCCTGTTCGCTCCACCAGGGTTTCGTAGCAACCGGGTCTCTTGTACATTTCTCTCCCAGGATCGCCACGACGCGAGCAGCAATGGGAACCCGCGCATCCCCCACCTCTCCTCTGCGGGACAACATCTCTACAGCCCCGCTCCGCCTCTCTCGCACACCGGGGTTGCCGAATACCAGCCGCCGCCCTACTTCCCACCGCCCTACCAGCAGCTGGCTTACTCTCAGTCAGCCGACCCTTACTCACATTTGGGTGAAGCTTACGCAGCCATCAACCCCCTGCACCAGCCTGCGCCCACCGGCAGCCAGCAGCAGGCCTGGCCGGGCCGCCAGAGCCAGGAGGGAGCTGGCCTGGCCGCGCACCACGGACGCCCGGCCGGTCTGCTTCCCCACCTTTCGGGGCTGGAGGGGGGCACCGTGAGCGCGCGCCGGGACGCTTACCGCCGCTCCGACCTGCTGCTGCCCCACGCGCACGCCCTGGACGCCGCAGGCCTGGCGGAGAACCTGGGTCTCCACGACATGGCACATCCCATAGAGGAGGCTCAGGTGAGCAGCGCGGGGACCTGCCTGCCTTAGTGCGTCGCTAACCCTCCAGCCACCTCTACGTTCCCCCAAACTTAAAGGAAATTGTCATTCTTCCCCCCAGAATGTGGACGACCAGCACCTGCTCCTGCATGATCAGACTGTCATTCGCAAAGGTAAATTGAAACAGGGTGCCCTTGAACTCACTGTGCAGCCCTGATTGGTCTTGAACTCACTGTAATCCTTCTGCCTCAACTTTAACAAGTGCCCGGATTACAGGTGGGAACCTGTAATTTAATTTGGGGAAGAAGCTTACACAAGAAGCATTTAAGTTTTGGGATTCTATGATGGTTTTCATTGTTGGGTGAGTTGGCTTCGTTTTATGTCTTTTAAATGGTGCGTGTGTGTATGTGAACAGACAGACAACTTAGTCTGTTCTCTCCTTCCACCATGTGGGTGCCAGAAATTGAATTTAGGTTGTCAGGCTTGGCAGCAACTGCCTTTACTGGCTGAGCCATTATGCCGGCCCAGATCCCATTTTATTATGTCAAGTAAAGTTGAGGTGGGGGGTTGTCCTTAATTCTGCTTCATAGGGAAAGTATTGAATGAGTTTCACCCACGGAATAAATGGCCCTTACTGGGACTGCCCTTCAGAATTTGTGGGGGGTGGGCTTCTCAGGGGAGGGGATTGCCAAAATTGGATTACTGTGAAGGAGGGAGTGCCTCTTGAGATTGAGACATACTGACAGTATTACCAGTCTGACTGTTTAGGGACTGGAATAGCCCTAAATTAAAGCTGGTGAAGGTCTGGTAGTTGAAATTGAATGGCTTTAGTACTTTGAGAGAAGATGAGGTTTGGAGAAAAACCTGGAAAATAAAACAAAAATTTCCCCGTAACCTTAAAACAGAAAGGGTTAATTTGTAGTTTTAAATGTACGAGGATCAGCTGAACTAAAGGGTTTGGGGCTGAGTAAATTCATCCTGTGGTTTCAGTTCACAGAGGGGGGAGGGAAGGATACCATTTATTCCCACTGAAGCAGTCTTAAGTCTTCTGCAATGTAATGTTTTAATTAAACAGATTACAGTGGTGGCCAGGAAGGGGTGGGCACACAACTCTGTGCTTGGGATCTTAACTAATTAAGTTCCCGAGGTGTCAACTTGTGATTTCAGATTTGAGTCTTTGAAGAAACAATATGGCGTTTAAGTCTACTTGTAGTTTGTGGTTCAGCATGCTGAGTGACTTGACTGAAGGCTTGACTTCAGCTTTGAAAAGGTCTCTGATCAGATTCAACTCTGACCACCTACCTGTTCTGCCCTCCCTGTCAGGACCCATTTCTATGACCAAGAATCCCTTGAGCCTCCCCTGTCAGAAGGATCTGGTAGGAGCCGTGATGAACCCCAGCGAGGTCTTCTGTTCTGTCCCAGGAAGATTGTCCCTGCTCAGTTCCACATCTAAATACAAAGTGACTGTGGCAGAGGTGCAAAGGCGACTGTCACCACCCGAGTGCTTGAATGCCTCACTCCTGGGGGGCGTCCTCCGAAGGTACTGGCCACACATGTTCAGGGACTCTTGGTTGGGTGGTTGAGGGTGAGCATGGAAGAGAGCCTGAAGGTATTTTTAACATTTATGTAACTTTTATATCTCACACTGAATTCTAATCGGCAAAGAGAGCTGTACACATATCTTCTGTTTTAGAAAAAGTGCGAAATGTAGAAAGTGCTAAAACAGCGCTAACCAATTATCATTCGGTTGGGATTTGAGCCTGAATTCAGCAGTAACCGCATCTGTATTGAGAAGGGGGAGCTGCGGATTTCATGCCCCCAGGGAGTTTGGGGGGCTGCTACTGTCAGACAATCAGACAAGTGAAAATTTATCTCTCCACTACAACTTGCAGTGTTCTGTGAATTTTAAGGGGTGATGCTAAGGAAAGCTTTTTTTTTTTTTTTTTTTTTTTTTTTTTAGTTTGAATTTTTATAGGGATTCTTTCATTATCCAAGGCCCCTGGATCACTTTCAATCATGGCTTACATAACAGAGCTAAATATTTGACAGCAGAACTTTGGGAAGGTGGAACTTTCAAAGTGTGGTTTGTTTTTGTTTTTAAGAGTAGCCAACTTTCTTTTACCCAGAGCAAAATCCAAAAATGGAGGCCGGTCTTTGCGAGAGAAATTGGATAAGATCGGGTTGAACCTTCCTGCCGGGAGGCGGAAAGCTGCCCACGTCACCCTGCTCACATCCCTCGTGGAAGGTCAGTGGATCTGTACTCTTGTTTCGTGGTGGTTTTTGCTGTCTACAAGGCTGTCAGGCCAAGAAAAGCTTGAAACAAAGTCTTCAGATATGATCAATGATCACAGAAAGCAATCCGAGTTGTGTGTTACCACAGTGAATTATAACATTTTTATAAATTGATGTCTACATATCTGACTGCACCTATGTTCTGTCTGGGGATCCCCTTATCAATTTTACTCGCCCCCCCCCCCAAAAAAAAAGATTTTTCAGAACCTAAGAATCATATGATAGGGGTGGCTAAACATTTCCTGTAAAGTGAAAATAGTTATTGAAAGGTGTAGTTGATCAGTGGGTCAATGGTGCATCTTTAAAAGAGAAGTCATTATTGCCCTTTCTAAAGTGTTTTCTAATTGGAGTATAGATATCCTGGTCCGAACCTACCATGGGACTGGTTCAAGTCAACTTTTCTTTCCTTGCATATATAAAAAAAGAATGGAGCCTGGTATGGTGGCACACACCTTTAATCCCAGCACTCTGGAGGCAGAGGCAGGTGAATCTCTGTGAGTTCAAGGCCAGCCTGGTTTACATAGTGAGTTCCAGACCAACTGGGGCTACAGGAAGAACTTGTCTCAAAATGACCCCCCGCCAAAAAAAATGGAACCCAGCATCCTCTCATGAGACCTTCTTTCCAGTTTGAGATCAGAACTACAGCATTTTAATTTTTGAATGGAGATTCTTCCCCCAGCCTGGAAGAAAGTCAAGAATGTGCTGCCCTTAAAAGGGGTGATGGAAGGGTAATTTTTTTTTTTTTTTTTTTTTTTGAGACAGGGCCTCCCTGTAGACCCAGCTGTCCTGGAACTCACTATGTAGACCAGGCTGGCCTTGAACTCTGAGATCCACCTGCCTCTGCCTCCCAAGTGCTGGGATCAAAGGCATGCGCCACCACACCTGGTGGGGGTGGTGGTAGTGTGGGTGTAATTTTTAAAAACATTGTTCCCACCCTTAGGAAGGTAGGCTCAGACACCGAGCACCTTAGCTCCAGGACTCCAAACCCAGACCCCAGGCCTCTGTGCTGTCAGCCATGCTGGGTACTGAGTTACCCCTGGGGAAACCCACGGGAAGTGGGCTCCGTCCCTAGAGCAGAGCTGTCTTTGGAACACTTTATTTCCCTGGCCTCATGGTGTGACTGATGCTGAAAGAGGCTTGGCAAGGTCCCTCTCGAGGTCAGGACAGGCAGAAAGGCCGGGCTGAGAACAGCTGTCTTGCATGGAGAATGGGGTGGGTTGGATTGTAATAGGGCTCTGCCAGGCGTTCTTACCAGCCAGGCTGGAGAGCTTAAATGAGAAAGCCCGTGCACCAACAAAGGCCCTGGGGTTCTGACCCGCCTCCTCAGATTCTCACTATCTGGGATTTTGGAGCGCTCTAGGCTCATGCCCTGGATCCAGAAGGCGCCACTGACTTTGTCTCCCTCTGCGCCCCCAGTTACTTGGACTTGGGATGAGGGTTTTACATTGGTCTTCAAGGCTCTTAATTGTTTTCAGTAAGGAAGCCCTTCTTCTCACCCCAGTACTGAGGATCGAACTCTGGACCTCTTAACTTAACTTGCTAGACAAAGACTAGCAAAAGTATTCAGTTCCCTTTTTTTTTTTTGGGTCTTTTTGAGACAGGGTCTCCCTGTAGCCCCAGCTGGCCTGGAACTCACTATGTAGACCAGGCTGGCCTCGAACTCAC